GAAGTGAGTGCTATTTTGGGGCATGGTAACATTTGGCGTGAAATTATCTTGGAAAATAATAATATTTTTTTGAATTTTAAAATATACTCATTTGAAAAAAAGTACCATTGGTCTCTTGATTCCCTTTGTTTATTTGGTGCTGCGAATGAACAAAGGACTTTACACAGATTACGTTCACACGCTAACCAGTGAGTGTCTACACTTCAGTCAACCTAAAGGGTTGCTGGTAATGGAGATATTTTGTGATATTGGGGGTTGAAAGCAGGGCCTTTTACATGTCAGCCCAACACTTCACCTCTCAGCTACATTGCCCTGTCAGCCTTCTTACTTTTATTTTTCTTAAGACTTACTGGATTTTATTTATGTGTTTCTGTGTGGGCATAGGCATCTATCAGGTTCTCGGGTGCAGTAGCAAGTACTCTTAATCACTGAGTCATCTTTCTCAAACACCCCACCACCTGCTTTGCTTTGTTTGTTTGTTTGTTTGTTCATTATAATCAGAGCAGAATAGGTTGTTGGGGTTGAACTTGAATTCACTCTGTAACTTCGGGAAGTTTAAACGTGTACTCTTTTTCTTAAGCGTTCTGGAGTCTGGGTCAAAGGCCTCTACCACACAGACAGCCTCTTACAGCTTGTGTTATGAACCAAGCCTCCTGTGCCTGCCATGCAGTATGTCAATCACACAAAGCATGTTTTAAAGGAAAAGTTCCAAAGCTCTTTCAAGAAAGTTACTTTGTGCTGTACAATCCTAATTCACTGCGTTAGGAATGAGCTGGTGTTTATAAATGTCTGATAAAACATCTAAAATAAATTGGAACACTGACACTCTTAAGAAATCAATGGTTAGAGCTGGGAGACTGCCAAGTGAAGTTCTTGCCACATGAGCATGAGACCCTGAGTTCAACCCTCAGAACCCACGTGAAAGGCGGATGTGGTGGTGATCCTAGTACTGGGGAAGTGGAGACAAGAGAGACCTTGTCGGCCAGCCATCTTGCTAAACCAACAAGCTCCAGGTTCAGTGAGAGATTTTAGAAAGACTCCAGTTATCAACCTCTATTCTCCACAGGCACTAACTTGTACAGCATGGACACACACATGCACGCACACACATACACGCACACTCCACGCTCACACATGCACACACACATACACTCACGCGCGCGCACACACACACACACACACACACACACACACACACACACATCCCTATTAGGGCCAGCCAACTACATGTCAGTCTGGGTCCTCAAGGCCCCAGCCTACTAGGAAGTGAAGACATCCAAGAGTCTGCCAACTGCCGGGCAGGTGGCTCCCAATATGATGAACATATCTGTGGTAGAGAAATGGGAGAGAAGGAGCAGCAGAATGGTCCACGTGCTATGGAAAGAGGCAGAAAGAGAAAATGTATTGGTGAGGCCTGTTGATGTGGGAGGCCTGTTGGCCACCCGGGGCCATGGTGATTTCCGGGCCCGGGCTGCTGCCAAGGGCCATGCCTGGGTCCTTGGTTCTACCACAACCAGGGTCTGTGTGGACATCCATGGCCCATGTTGTCAATAAAGAGCACACAGAAACCCAGGGTCTGGGCTGCAACCTGTAGTCATTTGGTATCTGAAGGCAGTGTTGCTGTGCAGCCATGCTGGTCTGGGTGGCCTGTGCTGCCACTTGAGGCTCTGGTGTTATCCAGGCACAGGCTGTTTCCAAGGGCCATGTCTGGGTCCATGACCACGCTGCAGCTGGGGTCTGTGTTGATGTCTGTGGCCCTTGTCACCTTAGGAGCCAAGGTGGCTCCACCCAACACCGACCCTGGAAATGCTGTCCCTGCCTTTTTCTGGACACTGTGGCAGGAGATCTGGCTCTGACCCTCACAGACCTGACCCCTGCACTCTAGAGAGATGGCCCCACCCCTCAGCACAGGCGAAGGAAAACTGACTCTGATGGCATTGACTTAGAGGAGCTGACTCCAACCCCTACCTGAAAAGGGTGGTCCCAGTGGCCCCTACTGACCACTTCAGCTACCTCCCAGGCCCACAGCCAGGCCTTGGGTTGGCCCATCTACCCCATCTAGAACCTTCTGGGGCTCATAAAGGGGTGGTCCTGTGGAATAATACATGCAGGATCTCCTTGACTCAGGGCAACTGGGGTTATCCCAGAGTAGTTTTGGGAGGATGCAGTGAAGATGGTGTAACAGAAATCAGAGGCCTTGAACAACACCAATGACTTATTGCAATGAACATTTGCAAGTAAAGCCAATTGGACAAAAGGGTCTATGTGACACACTGCTCCCAATGCCACCAGGATGAATGAAGAGGTATTGGGGAGGTAGAGTAGAGGGAAAAGTGAAGTTTTTTGGGGGGGTGTTTTTGTTTTGTTTTGTTTTATTCTTTTGTTTGTTTATTTGCTTGCTTGCTATGTTTTGTTTTGGCTTGATTTTTTAAAATTTTCTTTTGGGGGGGTGCAGGACTGAGGTGAGGATATGGGAGGACTGGGAGTTGAGCTTAATTTGGGTGTATAATGTAAATTTCCCAAAGAATCAATAAAGAAATTATGTTTAAGCTGGGCGGTGGTGGCACACGCCTTTATTCCCAGCACTCGGGAGGCAGAGGCAAGCAGATCTCTATGTAGACCAGCCCAGTCTACAAAATGAGTTCCAGGACAGCCTCCAAAGCTACAGAGAAACCCCGTGTCAAAAAAAAAGAAAGAAAGAAGAAAAGGAAAAAGAAAAGAAATTATATTTTAAAAATGTAAGTATAGCCCACGGCCTAGCAGCAACTGCTTCGCTTGCTCTCGAACCTCTGTCTTCAGCTCACCACCTTCACTCCAGACTTCACCATGTCCATCAGGGTGACCCAGAAGACCTACAAGGTGTCCACCTCCGGCCCCCGGGCCTTCAGCAGCCGTTCGTACACGAGTGGACCCGGTGCGCGCATCAGCTCTTCCAGCTTTTCCCGGGTGGGCGGCGGCAGCAGCTTCCGGGGCGGCCTGGGCACCAGCATGGATCTGGGTGGCTTCAGCGGGGCTGGTGTAGGAGGAGGCACCACAGCAGTCAGGGTGAACCAGAGCCTGCTGAGCCCCTTGAAGCTGGAGGTGGACCCCAACATCCAGGCCGTGCGCACCCAGGAGAAGGAGCAGATTAAATCTCTTAACAACAAGTTCGCCTCCTTCATTGACAAGGTGCGCTTCTTGGAGCAGCAGAACAAGATGCTGGAGACCAAGTGGAGCCTGTTGCAGCAGCAGAAGACATCGAGGAGCAACATGGACAACATGTTTGAGAGCTACATCAACAACCTGCAACAGCAGCTGGAAGCCCTGAGCCAGGAGAAACTGAAGCTGGAGGCGGAGCTTGGCAACATGCAGGGCCTGGTGGAGGACTTCAAGAACAAGTATGAGGATGAGATCAACAAGCGTACAGAGATGGAGAATGAATTTGTCCTCATCAAGAAGGATGTGGATGAAGCATATATGAACAAGGTGGAACTGGAGTCCCGCCTGGAAGGGCTGACTGATGAGATCAACTTCCTTCGGCAGATCCACGAAGAGGAGATCCGTGAGCTGCAGTCTCAGATCTCAGACACGTCTGTGGTGCTGTCTATGGACAACAGCCGCTCCCTGGACATGGACAGCATCATTGCTGAAGTCCGTGCCCAGTATGAGGACATCGCCAACCGCAGCCGGGCTGAGGCTGAAAGCATGTACCACGTTAAGTATGAGGAATTGCAGACCCTGGCTGGGAAGCACGGGGATGACTTGCGCCGCACCAAGACTGAGATCTCTGAGATGAACCGCAGCAGCAGCCGCCTGCAGGCAGAGATTGACGGCCTCAAAGGCCAGAAAGCTACCCTGGAGGCTGCCATTGCTGATGCTGAGCAGCGTGGGGAGATGGCCATTAAGGATGCCAACGCCAAGCTGGCCCAGTTGGAGGCTGCCCTGCAGCAGGCCAAGCAGGACATGGCCAGGCAGCTGCGCGAGTACCAGGAACTCATGAATGTGAAGCTGGCTCTGGACATTGAGATTGAGCAAGCTGCTGGAGGGCGAGGAGAGCCGGCTAGAGTCTGGGATGCAGAACTTGAGCATCCATACGAAGACCAGCAGTGGCTACTCAGGAGGGCTGAACTCAGCCTACGGAGGACTCGCCAGCCCTGGCTTCAGCTATGGCGTGAGCTCCTTCCAGCCCAGCTTCGACTCTGTCGGGGGCTCCAGCTCTTACAGTCGCACCAAGGCTGTGGTTGTGAAGAAGATTGAAACCCGCGATGGGAAGCTGGTGTCTGAGTCCTCTGATATCCTGCCCAAGTGAACGGCCACTGGAGACGCTGCCAGCCTGTGCTCCTGCAGCTGCCCAGGGCTCATGGAGGGGACAGCTGTATGTCAGAGTGCAGGAAATGGGAGACCCGCCAGAGGATCAGCCCTAGCCCTCTGGAATGTTCCATCTGGCGTACCTATATAGACACCCGCCTCCCACCTCCCCTCAAAACCCAGTTCAATTGTATTTTCCAAAATAAAGCCTCAGTTGGCTCCTTCAAAAAACAAAAAACAAACAAAAAAAAGTAAGTATAATATTAGATATGAACGATTACATAGAAATATATCCCTAGCAGTGACTGGATAAAATCCTTTTAGTCTCAGGTTTTGATCCCCACTGAGATACCTGCAAGAAAGACATCAGCATCTACTGTCATATCCTAGATTTTGGTTGACAGGAAAGCACAGAGAAAGGCAAATGCACAGAGTCACTGCTGTGTTTGTTGAAGCAGATCACATGTCAGAGCTCTCCCCCTATCATTTGGCCAATGGGTCAGTAAAATAAATCCTGATGAGTAAGCAACCATATTATAGGTCTGAACATTAGTGAGCTAAGTTACCTGATAGCATGGAATGGATGCCAGGCCCCAGACTTTAGAGGATGTGTTACAGGGACTTTCACATGGGAGTGAAGATGTCTTCCATATTTCTCTGGTAGCACATGAGAAAATGGAATGACATTTTTCTGTCTTTCTTTTTTTTTTTAATTAGCCTTGCTTGATTCCTGTCAGCTTCTTCTTGATGGCATACTTGGAGCTGGCGTAGATCATTTTGCTCTTAAGGGGTGCACTCTCAGGGGCCCAGAAGATGAATATCAGGTCCTCCTTCTTGTTGTCCTTGGTCTTGTATGTGGCATCGTAGAGAGCGTAGCGGCAGTCCTTGTCTGGCAGCATCTTGACAAAGGTGGTGTAGGGATCGTCCACAGTCTGCCCCACATCTCCTAACAGGATCTCCTTGCCCTCCTCCAGGATGATGTTCTTCTTGTCCTCACTCAGGCAGAAGAGCACCGCCTTCTTGTGTGCCTTTACTTCTTCTGGTGTCGAAGACTTGCACAATTTCATGTCATTGAACACCTTGATGACACCATCAGAGACAGCCACACCAGAGGCCATGTTTCCGGAAGCGAAAGGGAGACGGGGAGAGCTACAGAAGAACTGAGCCACCACAGCTGCTACTGGGATCCGACTGAATGCCAAAATTTTTCTTATAAAAGAAGTAATTTTGAAAGAAAGAAGTAAAATTAAATGTCTCAAGAATCAGGCAGGGTGTGGTTGTATATACCTGTAGCCCTGGCACTTGGGAGACAGAGACAGGTGGATCTCTGTGAGTTCCAGGACACCCAGGGCTCTGTAGAGTTCCTGTCTTAAAAAGAAAAGTCCCAAGAATCTAGACATGTTTCACTGAAGCTCACGTTCCTTCTGTCTGCAGTGGTTTTGTGACCGAGTGGCACCCGAGCCTCATGTTAAGTATGTAATTGACAGCACGCACGCAAAGCACCAACACTGCCCAATACAGACCACATTTCATATAATAGTTTCATTTTTAGATAATTTATCTGAAACTAAATTATAGCCAAGTGCCATACAGAAAATAGGGCTATTAAAAGCATTTCCTTTTGGTCGTGTCTGTTGGAGTCTCTCTTGCTGCTGTGAATAATCTTAAGTATTTCTGTAGACACACTCATTGGCAGCCATGAGACAGTGATGTCCCTGTGTTGTTTCCAGGTTCGTTGTATCTCTTTCTGCTGTTTTCTCTCTGTGGATCTGTGGCAGAGAAGTCTGCTCTAGAGACCTTCCAAGAGTTCTTCCTCCTGGACTAACAAAGCCCCTTTTGATGGTCATGGCTCAGTGCTCACTGGAACAATTCCAGGGGTGTCCTGTTCTCTGTCTCGGTTATCAGATCACTTCCCTGTGCCCTTCTTCCTCTTCCCTCCGTCTTTTCACAGTCATGACAGTGTGTAATTGGAGGGTGTATCCAATGCACACGGGCAGTGAAATCTTGATGACACAGAGAAAAATCAGTGTCCATTCAATTGCACAATTGTCTTTCCCACGTGACTATGACGACCACTAAACTCAGCTTTGACTTCTTCTTTCTCCAGATGTACCATTCAGTTCTAAAAACAGCTTTACAATGTAGACATTACTATCGGTCCCATTTTACAAATGAAGAAGTATCGAGATCAATTAGTTGTTCATATCTCTCCTTCCAGAGGGAAACAGCTGGAACTTTCACCTGGGCCCTCCCTGAACTCTCTCCATAAAACTGTCCAGGGCAGCCCTATTGCCCAGATAAAATCCATATACTTCATCCCCAGAAGCATTAGGGGAGACCCACCATGTTCTGGATCCCAGGGAAATGCTTATTAGTACATGTTCTAGGGCAGTATCGTGGAGTCAATATGGCAAAATCACCCAGAGCCGGAAGGACTCAACCAGAACTGAGTCAGCAAAATCTGGTCTGTTAGACAAAGAAAATAATAACTAGCCAACAAAATTACCTTCCCTGCCTTCCTTTTTCTGAAGTTTAGCTTGCATAAAGATCGAATGTCTGATCTCTATGTAACAACCTAGAAGTGAAAGGAGTCTCTCTCTAGGAGCAAACATCAAGCCACTTTGTATGTGGTGCAAGTAAGCCATTGACTTGATTTTAGCATTTTTATGCATTGTGAAGTTTCATAATTGCCAAATAGAGCTGGCTTTCAGGTTTTAAGCTTCTTCAGTAGGAACAGTACTATCTTGAAAGCATTTCTAGCTGAATAGTGTCTACAAGCTCTGGCAAGCGTTCAGACTCATGAACAACCTTGTTCTTTCTCAAACTATTCTGTTCAAAAGGCGTTTATTTCTTAGTATGCCTTGCCAAGGCTTAGGCCGTCTGAACCCTGCTGCCTCCCACAATTCCTCTTCAGCCCTGTTCTCCTTGTCACCTCTCCTGATTAATCTTGTTTCTCTGCACCCGAGCAGCGAACACGTCGGAGGCTGTAATACTTTCAGGCAGTACTTTTCCTTTGGACTGCCAATCCCAGGCAAGCCCAGGTGGCTGGTGATTGAAACTGAAAAGAACTTTGCCTCTGCACAAACTTTTGGTTTGAATCTACAAAAAAAAATTCTATGTAATGTGTGCCAAGGAAATACAATTTTAAGAAATAATGATATGGCAGGGAATTGTGTAAGAGTCAGAGTGCTCTGAGGGCCCTCCTCTGGGATGTCTCAAATGCTATATTACAAGGGGAAACGTAACGTGGACAGACACGACTAACATGGTTTTCATATGAAACACATTCTTATTGAGACTGGAATGGAAGCACTCCTGGAGGCCTTGGAAACCATGCTCCCCAAGAAGCAGATGTACTTGGAGTTACTGCTTCAACTTTCGTGACTTCCTCCCGGGTCATCAAACACTGAAAGTAGTATAGTGGGAGGCCGAGTGGGGTCATGAAGTTTCCTCCGCCTGGCGTGAAATGACAGGCAATGTCATTTCTTTAAAGCCTGATTACAAAAGTACTGGGTGCAGAGCTCAGCTGTAGAGAGGTCCCGTAGGCTCTGTGTGGGCCTGGGTCAGTGAGATGGCCCAGCAGGTAACAGCACTTGGCGTACAACCTGGCAATCTGAGTTCACTGCTGGAACTCACACAGAGAGCCTGAGGTAACCCAGGCACTCAGTGACTAGGTGAGAACCTGAGATTGAAGAAGTGTCCAGAAGTTTGCTAGCCAGCAGCAAAAACAAAATGGTAGAAA